GGGGGGGTACTCTGGGAGTATGAGGTACTGGGCCCTTTGATATGGGCTGTTAGGTCCCTGTATAACAAGTGTCAGAGCCTGGTCCACATTGCCGGCAGTAAGTCGGGCTTGTTCCCGGTGAGAGTTGGACTCCGCCAAGGTTGCCCTTTGTCACCGATTCTGTTCATAACTTTTATGGACAGAATTTCTAGGCACAGCTAAGGTGTTGAGGGGATCTGTTTTGGTGGCATTAGGATCGTGTCTCTGCTTTTTGCCGATGATGTGGTCCTATTGGCTTCATCAGATCATGATCTACAGCTTTTGCTGGGGCGGTTCGCAGCCGAGTGCGACAAGGCTGGGATGAGGATCAGTTCCTCCAAATCCGAGGCCATGGTCTTGAGCCGGAAAAGGGTAGAGTGCCCTCTCTGCGTCCGGGAGGAGGTCCTGCACCAAGTGGAGGAGTTCAAGTATCTTGGGGTCTTGTTCACGAATGAGGGAAAACTGGAACGTGAGATTATTGATAGGCGGATAGGTGCAGCATCTGCAGTGAAGTGGGCGTTGTACAGGTCTGTCGTGGTGAAGAGAGAGCTGAGTCAAAAGGCGAAGCTCTCAATTTACCGATTGATCTACGTTCCTACCCTCATCTATGGTCATAAGCTTTGGGTTGTGAACGAAAGAACAAGATCTCAGATGCAATCGGCCAAAATGAATTTTCTCTGCAGGGTGTCTGGGCTCTCCCTTAGAGATCGGGTGAGAAGCTCGATGATCTGGGAGGGACTCAGAGTAGAGCTGCTGCTTCTCCACGTCGAGAGGAGCCAGTTGAGGTGGCTCGGGCATCTGGTTAGGATGCCTGTTGGACGCCTCCCTGGTTAGGTGTTCCGGACACCTATCACCGGGAGGAGACCCAGAGGAAGACCCAGGACACGCTGGAGGGACTATGTTTCTCGGCTGGCCTCGGAACGCCTCAGGATTCCCCCGAAGGAGCTGGCCCAAGTGACTGGGGAGAGGGAAGTCTGGGCCTCCCTACTGAAGCTGCTACCCCTGCGACCCGACCCCGGAAAAGAGGAAGAAAATGGATGGATGGATGACAAAATTAGATTGGTGAAGCTGGACAGCAAAGGGTTAACCTTTCACAAAGCTCTGCAGCCGGAGGAGAAATGTGTGCGTGGCAGAGATTATGACAGGCTGCAGAGGGAGGAAGCTTCTCCCTGCACCTAATGATTTAGCAGGTGCTAAATCATTTTAAATAATTTATTTTAAATAAACAATCCATGGTTCATCTGTCAATCAGCCATTTGTGTGTCATGTCCATTATTTTGAAAAACAGCGAAAGAGCCAGACCATGAAAGTCGAACTGCGAAGTAGCGAGGGATGACTGTATTGTAAGACAGTTTGATGAGCATTTTACTATATAAACACCACTGAAAATAAAAATGATAATTTCATCACCCTTTGTTTTTTAAATGTAACTAACTATTTTGATTGTGAAGAGATAGACATTTGCCAAAAATTCCCTGACACATGGACATACCCCTCCAATCATCTCGTAGTGCTCCTGCCGACTGAAGTCTATGGCTTTACCGTTGAAGAACCACTTGAAGTTGGGGTTTAGAGATGAATCACTGGACACTTCACAAGGTAACACAAGACTCTGTCCCACAGTTGCATCTGAAGTCAAAGGTGGAACAATAACCCTGGTGGGCTCTGTAGCAGAATGGGGAAAAAAATGGAGGTAATTTGTTACTTTGTACCAGACTGCTGCCCTATAAAATCTGCCTGAATGAAAAAGGTAATAAAGCTTAATTTGGCCCGAATAATGAGACAGATTCTGGTCCATCAGTGTAATTAAATGACCTTAAATAACTTCACTTAGGGAGCAAATGCCTCTTTATTAATCTGCAATGAATAATTTAATGCACTGCTTTTACAAAGTCAACTAGAAATAAATTAAAAGGCTTCATCTATATAATTATCTTCATTTAAATTCTAAATCTAAATAATGCATTAGGAGGCTTTTTAAAAATATTATTTAATCACAGTTTAGAGCAGTGGTTTGCTCCACCCTGCCATACCTCAGTGAAGTCAAAAGTGGGGATGATGTTTACATCTATCAGACAAAGGCAGGTACAAAAAGAAGCTTCTCATTTCATTATTGTGTGCTGCCAAAAGTAAAGGCAGAGCAACATGTCTGTGTGCATGTTCGATTGTCTTTACTGTTGGCAAATTATCTGAGGAGTCAATGAATGGATTTCAATGAAACTCAGCACATACAGTACAACACTGGATGTACACTGATTATCTTTTGGAGTCAACGCAATATTGAATGGCTGCTGTAACAAAACAACTTTAACACAAAACTGTTATGACTCAGTCAATTGTACAGATATTCATCTAAAATTTAGTGTATTAGTACTTGAGAGTTATTCCTAATTCATAATCTGAGCACTAACTGATGGCTCAAAATATATGTTTAAAACCTGCCAATAACTATTGGAATCATCTTTTTGTCTGCAATTATGTCTTGTGAACCACTCAATGGATTTTATTTAAACTTTCAAAGTAGAATCAATAAGTAAACAACTACTGTTAAGATCTCTGTTTTATTGTTTACTTTTTGGTGGACTTTTGTGTTTACTATTAGTACTATTCCTTTTAGGTTATAATGTTTGTGTTTTACTACTTGTATGCTGCTTTGTGATTTTCCCTGTGTCACTTTCTGGGTTGCAGCTCCTGCCCCACCCACTTCCACATGTCCCCGGCTGTCATGAAGCCAAGGTGTCTCCACTCTGCTCATCAGTCCGTGTCAATATACTGTCAGTCCTCATTGTGTGCTTTATCTCCTGCTCGGATCGCCTATGTTTTCTCAAGTTAATATGATTGTTAGTGCCAAGTCAGCCTTTGTTTTTCCTTTTTGTCAGGGCTATTCAATTAAACTGCTCAGGGGGCCACAGTTTCTGAAAGTCAACAGCTCGGGGGCCTAACATCCAGCGATTAAAGTCATAATGTAAATAAACCAATGTTTACAATGATCTGTTACCTTTTAAATGTGTTTATTTTATTGCATTGAATCATAAATGCAATGAAAATAACCCAGAACCCCCCCCCCCCCCCCAAATTATTTATTTATTTAAATTAAGTGAGCCAAATTGAAGTCACCGGCCCGCGGACCGCCAGTTGAATAGCCCTGCTTTATGTTATATATATATATATATACTATACACACACGTACATGTGTGTATATAATTATATAAAACAGGGCAGAACTGTGGCACAGTTGGTACAGCTGCCTCGTCCGTCTCAGTGAGCAGGTCACCCCTGTTCAAATCCCGGCCAGGGGCCTTTCTGGGTGGAGTCTGCATGTTCTCTCCTTGCATGCATGGGTTTTCTCCGGGTACTCCATTTTTCTTTCCACAAAGATCAAAAACTTGCATGTTAGATTGACTGGTGCCCCTTTTCCATTAGTACCTGTAGTACCGGTACAGCATGGCTCTACTCTACTCGGTACGGTACAGGTTGTGTTTCCATTATGCTTTCAGTACTGGTTCCAGTGGGCGGGGTTCAAATTGACGTCACCGCCTCTCACCAGCTGGTGGCGCCGAGACGCAGAAACTGTTTTCAGTACAGGTTGAGAATTTATGTTATTTTGAAGTTGTGTGTATGTATGTATGCATGTGTATAAATATATATATATATATATATATATATACATATATATTTATACACACACACACAAATATATATGTACACACATATGTGCATATATATGTGTATATATATATATATATATATATATCATATGTGATATATATATATATATATATATATATATCACATATGTATATACACATAATTATGTATATATATGTATATATATATACATATGTATTTATATACATATATATGTATTTATATATATTCATATACATTTATATACATACATATATATTTATAATTTATACATATATATTTATAATTTATACATATATATGTATTTATATATATGCATATATATTCATCTATATATATTTATAGATATAAATATATATATATATGTATATAAATTAAAACTCTGATGAACCAGATTCTACAAAAACATTAGATTTAAATTTTTATAGGTTTTCATCATCATTTGATGTATTTGCACTCATTGTGTCTCCTTTTAATGTTCATTTTAAATGTGTGGTTTTCTTTCTTGTTCACATTTATACATTTTATTTTTAGTTTTGCTTTAAAGTTCTTGTTTTGTGATTTGTACATTTGTGAGTTAAAATAAAGTTGAACTGAAGGTCATCTCTTTTCTTTAAACATGTTTGAGGGAAATATTTCTGAGATCCAATAGTTTTGTGTCTTTTTATGATTTTCAGCTGAGTTAACAGTCATTAAAGTGAAAACAGGATTTCATGATGAAGCGGGCACC